AGCCTTCGCACCCGTTCGTAAAATACTAAGTATAATGCCAGTGTGATTTGGGGGGGAAAATATTAGTCTTCTTTACCGTCGTTCATTAAACCTTTCAAACTGCTGGAGGAGGCGACTTTGCTTTTAAATCCCTTCATTTGCTTTACGATTAATGAAAGATGACGGTACACGCACTAGAATTTTTGCAATTTGAATTAAACAATGCTTCCTTTTAGTTGAAGTTGTTCGTGAGAGTTTCCTCTAAATGTTTCAATTAACTCTTTTTGTCCTTCCTCTCGAGGTAAAGCGCAGGTTTCTATAAAAATCAGTCTTTAAGCCTTGCAATCAGTTCATCGTGCCAAAAGCGTGGAATGTGATTGTTGTTCGCTGCATTCTTTACTATCTACAACTAAACATCAATCTTCTTTTCTATTCCGCGTTTTTTATATCTTTTTTAATTCATGGTTTGCTGCGTATTACTTTTGCGTTACTCTCTGATGGGATCCATTTAAACTCTGCGAATCTCGTGCAGAAAAATTTATAGTTCTGGATGGCATGTCGCTTTTGAACAAAAGTGTGGAAGTGCTTAAAATAAGGCTTGGAGTACTCAGTAGTATTCAATGGGCAGATCGACGAACATCTGAGGCCAAAAAGGAACATGACAGAAGCACGGCTGTTTGAAAATTAGGAAAAGGAGAAGCGAGTAAATGGTCAAAATGTAAGTAAGTGAAACAAATATAAACGCATGGAAGAACTATGAGATAAACTGATATGTAAAAGGAATGAAAGTCCAAAAGTCAGTAAGAATTACTGTTTATTTGTTACAAAACATTTACTAGCTCAATACTGATAGGTGAAAGGCCGAGAGATATTGCTTGTTATTGGCAGCAGGTATCCTCAGGCTAGCAACCCTTAGGGCGTAAGGCGCCTGACCGCACGAACCGACGCGGCGTTTTGGATCCCAATAGAACCCAAAATGTAGAGCAAAATAACTTCGTATGATGACTCATTCCAGGAGTTTATACTACACCCTAAAAGACTCACCTGACGGACCTTGTGCTTATTCATTTTCTTAATAAATATTCGGG